CTCCATCTGTGACATCCGGTCCGACAAAGTATCGAAGTTGGTTTGGATGGTCGCGAATTTGGCCTCGAATGTGGCCCGCATGTGTTGGAGGATGGCCAGTACAGGGTCTGACTGGGTGGCGGGGCCCAAACTGGCGGCCGCAGGGGTGGGAGTCTCCGTCGAGTCAGACATGGTGTCGCGAGCTAGAAACGGAAGGCCTTCACTGATGGAGCGGGATGGACTTGCGAACTCAACACTTTGCATAGAGTCAGGGGATGAAGAAGATGAAGAGGGGGAACTGGGACGGGGGGGGCGCTCAGTGGCAGCAATCAACGTGTCAAAGCGAGCGAGTCGGTGTGTGGCACAGGCGTCTCGGGCGCGATTTTCGAGTACGCGCTGCTGGTTGTCTCAGGGAGCCAGATTGGCATGCAGAAAAGGGGGCAAGAAAGGAATGCGTGTAGAAATGAGATCTAGCAAACTTTCGGAATTAAAACAACAAAATTTAGGATCGGATTGAGGGAGGATGGGGAAAATTTCAAAGTTTGGGCGAGAGGATGAGAGGAAATTTTCAAGGACTGGCGTGGAGTGCAGAGGAAGGCATGCATAAGACAATCACAAAGTCAAAATAAAATTCCGAAATTATTTGGACGTAAATTCCGAATTTAAACAAGATTTAAGCAAAATTTAATGAATTTCAAAAATATTCGTAAAAATTTTTGAAAGTTCGGGAGATGATAAAAGATGTAGAGACGAGTACAGAGGAGAATTCCGAATTAAAATGGAAAATTTCTTGACGTATTTCTGGAATTAAAAAAATTTCGAAGGTGATTTGAAATAAAATTAGAAGACTAGTTCATAATTGAAGAATTTATGATGAAATGGCAGAAAGAATTTAATGACAGTTAAGTACATTGAATTGGGGAGGAATTTCAAAATTATTTAGATGAAATTAATAAATTGTATCAACATGTTGTAAAACTAAGAAAAAAAATTCAAAGAATTCCCAAAAGAATTCTAAAATAATTTAAAAAAGAATTGCGGAATTTAGGAATTTTACAAGGGATAGAAAGTAGAAGTGGAGTGGTTGTCAGAAGGATTAAATTTAGTAAATTCTGAAATTTATTTCACGAATTTCTGAGTTAAAATCAAATTTCAAACTAATTTGGGGAAGAATTTGATATAACAAAGAATTTCACGTAACTTTTTGCAATCAGACTCGTCCTATTCACACTTTTCATGCACGTGAACAGCAGCACAGCAAACTGGCGACCTGCGCCCACACAGTACTCAGAGATATGGCTTCCAGGTAAGAGTTCACTTCCACTGGCTATGGCGACTCAGCGCCCAACAACCCACTGTTCACACACACTGGATCACCCTGGATATCCCACACGCGACACTCTGAACACTCACGCATCACACACACACAACACCCTAAGCTACAGCTATGGCAGCGCTAGCYGCCTCTACCCTATCGCTATGGCTACTTCGTCACTCTCGCCCACTTCAGCTTCGGGCCTACTGCAGACCTCCTCGCACAAGATGCTGAGGCAGCGCTTCCGCATGGCTTCCGCAGGAATGAATGAATGGCTGTGCGCGGCCTCTTGATTTATACTTCAGTGACTCGTTGGTCTGCCCTGTTTCCCTGGCCCACGGTGCATACAGTCCCAGACAGTACTTGCTTGACTAGACCGAACTGACTGGACTGGGACTGCTGACTCTGCGTGGTGGACCTCCACCACTTGCCCACTTGCCTCTGCCTAAACTGGGGCCGACTCCGAAAGGCCACTTCTAGAACCATCTACTTGGCCTTTCGGTACTGTAGCAGCTACGACTCTGCCCTTTCAAGTAAGTAGCAGCTACGACTTTGACCTTTCGGAAAGTCTACAGCTACGACTGCTAGACTGTCTAGACTCGTACCCGACAGGTCTACAGTTCGAATCCCCTATACCCTGTAACCTACGATGTCCTACCTACCACTGGTGGTCCTACAGGTCGCAGGTTCAACTCTACGTGTTGACACAGGCACTGTACACAGGTAAGGTGGGGATCTAGGGATCGAGCCCTGGGATCTGCATTAGCT